GCAGCAGCAGCAGCACTAGCAGCAGCAGCAGGAGTAGTAGTAGTAGTAGGAGGAGGAGGAGTGGTGGTAGTAGTAGTAGTAGTAGTAGGAGGAGGAGGAGGAGTGGTAGTAGTAGTAGTAGTAGTAATAATAACAATAATAATGATAATATTGCGCCCTCCTGCCTTGTCCACCCGATAAGGCGCCCTCCACACGCAGAAGCATTGCCAACTATGCTAGCCTGACATTTGATTTGAGCCGAAAGTCTATGGAACATGACTGCAACAAAAAGCAGCATGCATCAAAAGATGCCCAGTGCAGACTCAGAGCACTGAGTTCGAACAGATCAGGGTTCGAAAGGTCCTCTTTTGTCCGCGAGGGGGCAGTCCACGAGCGAGGCCGTCTGGCAGAGGTGGTAGAAGGTGTTGGAGAACCGCAGATATGCCTGCAAACCCAAGGACCTTAACATATTTTCGCGAAAAACCAAAGACCTTCAGCATCACGACAGAACGTGACCCGGCCCCTCGCCGACTCCCTCCCCCATCCTCCACCAAGTACAATCTGGTCTTGCAACCTGCACTCTAAGCCGACATCCCTCTTCCTCGTCGCCTTTTCAGGAACATCAGGACCTCCAACCACCGATTGGGTCTGACACACAGCGCGATCTTGCTGATCTTGTTCATCGTCATCCATGCAGTAGCAAACCTTCAAGCATTTAAAGGCCTGCTTGCGGGCGCAGACATGCTGCCTTGTGAGCATCGCCGGTACCAGTGACCCCTGATTATGCAGGCTACTTCGATGTACACATCTACTGGACGGGCCTGCCGGCCAACGTCGTGGAGGAGTACATTCTGCTGTCCATGCTGCTCCACGTCTTCGTGGGCCTGAGGCGAACCTGGGACATCAAGCTGGCTCTGGCGCAGACTCGGCGATCTCAGCGCACGCCCTGAACCTGGCCATCTCCGGCCTAATGCTTCTGACCTTCATGGCCATCCACCTTTTGCAGTTCTGCTTCGGACACGTTCAAATCAAGCAGCTTTGTGCGCATAGTCGTTTCGACCTGTTCGCCACACGCGTCTGACAGGGCTGTTTGTGTGCTATTCATTCCAAACTGCGAGGTGAACGGCACCCTGATAGTGTGCACGTTTCGTCGCATCACAGCTGCACTCTGGCATTTGACTGATCTGCTTGGGCAGTTTTTGTGTAGCTTGTGAATCCAGGCATGCTTCGGCTGTGGGCAGATGAGACATGGAAGACCTCGAGGCCTGTGCCACCTGTGTGTGCCTTTTGCCAGAGTCATATTTCTTGATCAGTGCTGACCTTCCTCGAGCAAAGCGGGAGGGAGGTCAGGTTTCAGGACCTCTGAAAGGAAGCTTCTCGCAGCAGGTGCACATTCTCTGCAGATCCCACGGTTTGCCACACCGACTAGATCATGCAAGCTAGCCTCCCGCGTTGTCTTTGTTTCTTATCAAGCGATAGCTTGCAGCAGGGGGTGTTGGGGGGCTACCCCCGGCGTGGTGGCCAAATCGTCTGTTTTTTGTAGAGCAGGGTGCAGAGAGTCGTGACGGCATTGAGTTTTGCGTGATCGTGCCACGAATCTTAGAGAACAAACACCACGAAGATTTGACTCTTGACTATGGAAGGTTCTTGGCAGACAATATGGTGGTTCAAACTTTCCCTGGCATGGCGAACCCTACCTAAACATGTTGAAGCAGCAGCGCGACTATGTTACCTCAGACTGACATCACTCGACCTGACTCGACTCAATGCTTCAGCATGCTGCTCTCGCTGCAGGTCAGCCGCGGCATGCCGGCAACCCCGCCAACGACACCGATCAAAGAGCCAGGGGCATACTTGCCGATGACATCAGGAGGGTGAGTCCTCGTGCGGGCAGCAGACGGTCACACTATTCTGGGGCTCTCCTCGCCATGCTCTGGCAAAACATCCAAGCCGACGCAAGCCGAGGAGCATGTTGAACTCCACCGTGTCCTTACCAGCGAAGGTGAGGATGACCAGCTCGCCCCCAGGGTGCTCCGACAAGAAGCTTGTGGCAAAAAAAAACACGAGTTCCTAAAATGGTGCCTTCATGAATTTTCCTACAAAGACCTCTTGGCCAATGCTCAAGTAACAACAGTACCACTGGTAACGGTTGTGAAAAAGCATTCCTTTTTGCTTTCTAATAAGGCTTTACAGCAATTTGTATAAAGCAAGGCCACCTCCAAAACTAGAATTCCAGGATTCCAGGTTTCCATGATTTCTTTTTGATTCTCAATTGGATTTTAAAAGGAATTTATGTGA